CCAAAAAAAAGGTTGAGAAGTTAGAGGATTGACATGTTGTGGGGTTGTTAACCAATGTCATAAAACAATATGTGTACTACTGTTTCATGAGAAACTATTTATTCTGTAAGCCTTCACCTGAAGTACAATTAAAAAAAAATATATATATAGTAAGCAAATCAAAGTCAGGCTATAAAAAAAAAAAAAGAATATAGAAAGGAAGCCACAAAAATTCTGTCAGGCAATCATATTAATTACTAATTCAAGATTTTAAATATTTTCCACCTAAATCTAAGTTTAAAATTATTACTAGCCAGGGAGAAAATTTATTATTGTAGTTTTTTGGAAAAAATGCAATTATACAATTGGTTAAGGTGTCATTTTTTGGTGACTGCTTACGAATTCAGACCAAGAAGAGTTTGTTTGTTTGTTTGTTTGTTTTTAATAGTAGAATTGATACAAAACCACTGTTCTACAAAAAATATGGGAACTAGAAAGTTCTGTAAGTAGGAATTTAAAACTTTATGATTAACTGCCTTTAAATAGTACATTTATGTATATTCATACATATATATTTAGAAAGTTTAGACTACAGCTTTCAAAATGAAGAAAAAAGAGGAAATTACCTTTCAGCACATCTGCACTAAAATCTTGATAGTTATTTTACCAGCTACGTTTTTTTTGCAGTTTGCAATGTAATGACTTCTCAATGAGACCATTTCCTTAGCAATAATTAATTAAGAAAAGTTTTTCTGGGAAAATCCTTTTTGAATAACTTTGTTCCTTAACATTTAAAAAATTTCTCTGTCATTAACTTAAGTGTTCTTTATACCTAATGTGACTTTCCTCTACCACAGTGAAGGAAATTGTGAATATACGTTGCTTCCAATGGCATTTTGCTTGTGAATACATATACTGTATACCAAAAACCCACTGCCTTTGGGTTGATTTCAACTCATAGCGACCCCATAGGGTTTCCAAGGCTGTAGATCTCTATGGAAGCAGACTTTCTCCCGCAGAGCAGTGATGGTTTCGCACTGCCAAGCTCTCGGTTGGCGGTCGATCGCTCTGACCACTGCACTGCCAGGGCTCTTTACATATACTATATGCAAAACTAAATTTTATATCTTTATATTATTTTTCATTATTAACTATAACTCCAAAATTTAGACAAATTATTGCTATATGTCTGTTTATAAGTGAGCATATGTGTGCTCATACATTTTTACGTCTTTGATAAATGTGAGCGTTGCTGTTGTTCAGTTTTCAGCATCTGAGAGTATACAGTATATTGAAAAAAAGCATATTTACACTTCATGTGTGTTCTCATCACCAAACTAATCCCTGAAATTCCATGAGTCAGTTCTAAAGTGCAGTATTTAATAAATTGCCCCAAATTATATCTTTAATTAGTAATTGTAACTTAAATATCCCTTGGTTTGGTTGAGAATTTCTAAGATCCCCCAATGCTTAGCTAATCTATAACCTTAAGAAGTAGTGGAAAACTCACCTAGTTATATCCTAGTACAAACCATTCTTTCAAATTAAATTACATAAACATTTCTACAAGTAGAGTCAGACATTCATTCATCCTCCCTTCATCAAATATTTATTGTGCATCTACTCTATGTCGGAAGAAAGACTGGCATAGAGAGACCTTTCTTTGCCAGAAAGGCCCCTGGAGGGTGCAAATGGTTTACACTGGACCACTAACCTGAAGGTTGACAGTTTGAACCCACCAAGTGGCACTGCAGAACAAAGGCCTGGCAATCTGCTTCCATAAAGATTACAGCCAAGAAAACCCAAAGGGGCAGTTCTACTCTGTAACACATGGGTTGTATGAGCCAGAATTGATGACAATGAGTTTTTTTCTATGCCAGAGGCAAGAAAGTTGTGAACAAGATTGTTATACCTCTCTCAGTGGTGGAACATATTAGGTCATTTTTAGCAAAAAAAATTATTTTAAAACAAATCTCTGTATATTCAAGGATATTTCCCCCCAAACGCTTATTCTGTTGTTTGCCATCAAGTCAATTCCAACTCATAGTGACCCTATATCACAGGGTAGCACTGCGCCATAGGGTTTCCTAGGCTGTAATCTTTACGGGAGAAGATCACTAGATCTTTTCTCCCCAGGAGCTGCTGGTGGGTTTGAACAGATGACTTTTTGGTTAGCAGCCCAGTGCTTTAATGACTGTGCCACCAAGGCTCTTCACAGCTTATACTACTGAAAAAGGAATCTTCTGTGGTAATGAAGTCGAGAGTAGTGAGAATGATGGATCATGGAGAGGCAGGGGCAGAGTAAGTAGGAGAAACGTTGATGGAGAGTCCAAGGAAGGGGTCATTTAGTGTTTCCCTGGCCAGATGGGGCCATGTGACAAGTTTCTTCAATGTAAGTGAAGCTGTGGCTGCTTCCAGGCTGTTTTATCCCAGCAATATAAAGCCAATTGATAACTCAGGGATTAAAATCTCATGAATTTTAACAGATTGATTACTCTTGATATACTGGGTTCATTTTCTAGTATAAAATATTATCAATTTCTATTTCAAAAAAAGTAATACTAATTTAAATATTCAAATGGGTTTTAAATTTATATATGCAAACTAACATCATTATTCTATCTCTCCATATTTTAATACATCAACAAGTATAACATAATTTATAAGTTTATATCACATAAAAATGAGCTTGGTCTCTTGATGTATATAATTTCTCATGATTATTTTGGACACAATTGAACTCGGAGATTTAGGGGAAAATAAACTGTACTTATAACTTTTTAATTGAGACTCATAACAGTTCTTTGTTAATTTTCATAAGCCTGGTTCAGGTTTATAGGAACAAAAAAGTAAATAAATAAATACATGAGCTTAACTATGAGGAATTAAATATAGTGATACTAATAAAATAGTTGAGCAAAAACAAAATTTAAATAAGCAAACCTCTGAATATTTTTAACTCTATTTCTGTTTTTAACTCTAGATTGATTCTTAAATTGTTAACAGTTCACAATGCCAATGTAAACCTGTCAATAGTTGGACTGAAGGCCTTAGATCTCCTCCTAACTTCAGGTAATGTATACGCATACATATTTTCTAATGTTGACTCAAATTAAAAAAAATTGAAACCATTTACTAGATGTGTTTTAGTATTTTTAAAGATCATAACATAATAGAACCTAAATTTGATGATTTCTAAAATTCTATTTTCATCTTTTCTCCCTATCTCTTATCTGTATACTTTTTCTCTCAGAAATTCCATTAAATTTCTTGGCTTTAAAATCACTCTATATCTTACTCCCAAATCTATATTTATAGCTCCGGCTCTTTCCCCCAAATCTGGTCCCACATCTTACATTGTCACTAGCTTGTTGGCCATTCATGCTCTTGTCATTGTATCTTTCCCCATACATATCTCTAATATGTTTTCTACAATGTATTTCCTAGGGTGTGACATAATAGTGATATTTTGAAAGTATATGTCATTACTTCTTGAGTGTTTACTATTTGTGAGGCACAGTAAGATGGTTCACATGGTTTATAAAACCTAATCTCCCAAACAGTCCTTGAGACAGATATTTCACCTTTGTTCCCTAGGTGAGGAACACTGAAGCGTAGAGAAGTTGCCTTGGCCAATAAGTAGCAGAATCAGGGCCTGATTCCAAATGTCAGGGTCTTTCCTGAGGAAACTTCTGCCTGGAGAATAATAGACTTGAAAAAAAAAAATCTGGATATGGTGCGATAGCTGTGATCATTGCTCTATGATAGACACTTTCTATCATATAAGATTCTGAGAAGAAAGGCTTCTCACAGGAAGGCTAATCTTGCAGGACAGGAAGGAGTTTCCCTCAAAGTGAAAGAGGGTATTCTAGGTTGAGAGAACAGAGTGTACAGAACTGCAGAGTCCTGGAAAGATAGCATGATAAAGGCTGGACATGTGAGTGGGAAGATTTTAAATGTCCTCATTGGCCCTAATAAGTCATAAATACTTTACAGGAGAAAAGGAAAGGAAGGAAGATGGCTAAGAGCAGGTTATGGAGAGAAGCAGATAGAAAAAGCCAGAAGATACTCACCATGTCACCACTGCCTTTTATTAGACTACTTAATGGGTTGTAGTAACTAGTCTTAACCATAATTTACTTTAAACTCATCCTTGGGAGCCTTTTTTTTTTTTTTTTTCCCCTCTTTTTTCCCTTCCTTTTTTAGGTGCATTCTCCATTTGGTGATGAATGGGAATATGTGGGTTTGTAAATTTAAAAAATCTCCTAGCACTAGAATATATTGAAGTCAGCAGCAAGCAGATAAGAAATTTGACATATGTTTTGAAAAGACTAGTTAATTTCTCCTATATACTGTTCAGAACTTTGAGCCAATATGAAAGTTTTTAGTATGTTTTAAGGTTCATCTCAGATAATCATTAGAGCTTAATTTATGGATCATTTTTAATTATCTGGCTTATTCATTAATTGTTTTAATAGTTATTGGGCACTTACTGGGTGCTAGAGAATTCTAAAGCAGATGAGGCAAAATTCCTACAATATAAAAATTCACAATCCAGTACTGCTATCTCATATAACTTTGGCAATGATGGAAATGTGTATCTGTGCTGTCCAATACCATAGCTGCTAGCCATATGTCGCTACTGAACATTTGAAATAGCTATTAAATGCTAGCGTGAGAAACTGAATATTAATTGTAAGTAATTTACAGTTGAATTTAAATAACTACATATTACTAGAGGCTACTGAATTGGACTGCATAGGTAGAGAGATAAAAAAAAATCAAAGAAATATTTTCAATTTAATGATGAGAAAATTACTATAACATGACTGTGAAGAAAACCATCATACGAAGACAGAGGAGAGAGCAGCTAAATTCCCCCAGAGGATTTGGGCATAGACGTGAACGGCCTAAACTGTAACCCAGCACTGCCTCTTATTAATTTTATTTAACCATTTGGGTTACTTAATCTTTCTGTGCCTCAGTTTTCTCATCTCTAAAATGAGGTTAGTAAATCACTTACCTCATGAGGTTGTGGTGAGGATTAAACACGTTATAGTGAAGTGCTTCAAACGGTGCTGGCACATGTTATGTGCTATGAAAGGGTTTACTAGCACTACTGCTCCTATTCTGGTACTATTGTTTTTATTGATAGAATAGGTGCAATTTGTGTTTGTTCTTTAATTATTGTAGGAGAATGTTTGATGTAGAAAAGGCAAGGGTATTCCAGGTAGAGGAGACATCTAGTGCGAGTACAAAGGAATATCAAAGAGTGTTCAGTGATGAGCAATAAGTTTAGCATGACTGGAGTTGAAGCAATTATGGAAGGATATGAAAAAAAACAAAAAACAAACCCATTGCCATCGAGCTGGTATCAACTCATAGCAACCCTATGGGACAAAGTAGAACTGCCCCATAGGGTTTCCAAGGAGAGGCTGGTGGATTTGAATTGCTAACCTTTTGGTTAGCAGCCATAGTACTTAACCACTGGGCCACCAGAGTACCAGAAGGATATGAGGCTGATAATACATGTTCTCAGTTTGTGAAGGGTCTTGTTTGTCATACCAGTGAGTTTGAGAAGGCCTTAGAAAATTTCAGGAGTGAAGTTTCAGGATCACATTTGAGTTTTAGAAATAAAATGCAGGGAATGAACTAGTTAGGTAGACATTTGGGCTAAACAACGCATTTTAACAATTGTTTTAGAATTCCAGGTAAGAGATGATGAGGTCCTGAATACAACGGGAGTGGAGGGACCTCAAAAGGAGTTTTTGAGTGGTTTAAAAGGTGGACTTAAAGGACTTGGTAATGAGTTGATTTGTTGGTTGGACAGAGGATGAGAAGAGAAGGAGGATGGAAGATGGAAGATGACTCAGTAGTTCCTCTCTTGGGTAAATATTTGATGATACTATCACTGACTAAGGCAAAGAACAAGAGTAGGCTAGGTTTAGGGTACCCATGGAACATTCAGATGGTGTTGTCTAAAAGGCAGACAGAAATATGTTTCAGGAATTTAGGATAAGAGATCTAGGCTAGAGATATTGATCAGGAATCATGGAATTCTAGTAAAGTACTGGGAATTTATATCATTTAGAAAGATTTCTAGTTTGATAGGTCTAACAACTGGAGGCAATTTAGTGGTTTATGAAAATCAATAAACCATTCACAATCCACATATAAAAATTAACACATTAAGTGTTAAAGCAGTTGTTTACTTATGGTATCTGTTTTCTTCAAAATAGGTAAAATCACTTTGCTGATATTAGATGAGGAAAGTGATATTTTCTTGTTAATTTTTGATGCCATGCGCATGTTTCCAGCCAATGACGAAGTCCAGAAACTTGGATGCAAGGCTTTACATGTGCTCTTCGAGAGAGGTATTTAAAAATTTGAAATTCTTTATTTTGAAATTTATATAAGAAAAAAGGACCTATAATAGGAAAAGTAGAATGTAATTATGATAATAGGAAGGCATTTAAAATTGTACTGTTTATTAAAAAATAAGAGCTGTCTGTCAAAGGTAGTTAATAGGGTTAATTCAGAAATATTGCTTGTTTTTAGTAAAGAGAATTTCATTCATGGCTTATAAATCATGTAATTGTAGTAGATATTCTTCCATTGCTTAACAAGGCATAAGGTTCACTTTCCAAATTAGATATGTGGGAGGTAAGAAAGAAAAAATAAAACTGTGAAGCCAAGCATAGGTTAAATTTGAGTTTGTGGTGTTGAGTCATCACCAGAGATTTTAGAAATTGCTAAAGGCTCTGTAATTGTAGGTTGCTTGGAACCTTTGTTTAGTCCTTCCACTGTGGCTTGATGAGGAAGTGGAGACTCAGAAAGGGGAAGTGAGCAACCTGCCCAACGGTATACAGGTAGTTATAGTACAGTTCAGTCACCACTGTTTTTTGAGAGCCCTTATGCATCATTATAAGAGCTAATTGTGCTAGAGGTTTAGGATAAAAATTACTTATGAGGGCCTTGTGTCTGTAGGAGCTACTACTCTAGTTTATGCCAGCACCAGGAATGGAATGTTGTTTTAGTTGCCACTGAGTCAGCTCAGACGCATGGTGACCTTATGTATAACAGAAGGAAACATTGCCCGGTCCTGTGCCATCTTCATGATCTTTGGCATGTTTAAGGAATAGGATAGATGACCTTATAAAGTTTCAATCCCTGTCTTATTTCAGAAGGACTTTAAACAGTTTATATCATTGTTATTAGGTCTCTCAAGTCCATTTCTACTAATAGTGACCCCATGTGACAGAATAGAACTGCCCCATAGGATTTTCTAGGCTACATAGTCTTTACAGGAACAGAGCGCCAATTCTTTCTCCTAACCTTTTGCTAACCTTTCTGCTAACCTTTTGGTTAGCCACCAAGTGCTTAACTTTTGTACCATCAGGGTTCCTTAAAGAGCTTATAGAGAGTTACGATATATTCAGGAAAAGATGGACAAGGAAATGACTGAAAGAAAACAGTATGAAGCTAGGCTAAATTTGCTACTTAAGGTCTCGCATATTCGCAAAGGGGTGAACCAGAAATTTGACTCTGAGCTCCTATCAGACAAAGAAATAAGCCATCATTGGCTACACAGTTTCTTGAGATAAAAGTAAACATATTAAGGCAATTGGTCACATGGGAGACTTGAGAAAATCCTCCCGTGGGTTTCCCTGGATGAGATGATAAAGTATACCCATCTCACAAGGAATACAGAGTGCATTTCAGTCAAAGCAACTCTGTGGAGAGTCAGAACAGTGTGGACCTGGTACCCAGCTCTCTGGTGATCAGGCTTGATGGAGAAGAGTTTTCTGTGAGTGAAGAATGGATGGGCTGAGTGTCCTTCAGGCTCTCTTCTATAAATTTTACTTCTTGCAACAAAGCTTTTGATAACCTGAAAATAGTGTTTGAAGTTCTATTTTCTGGCAGGGCCTGTAGTGCAGATCTTCTGTGTAGCCGTAAGGGTGGATTCTTGTTTGCGGAAGAAGGGCTGACATCACTTTCTCACCAGCATCGTGAGGACCATTCAGGATTTATAGAGGTGTCCCAGAGAATGTTAAAAGAAGAATCTTATTCAGTGAAAATATAACCAGTGCTTACAGTATTATGATAATAAATGTAGAGTAGAAAAATTTCTGATTCTCCAGGAGAAGCAATTTCCCCAAGATTTACTGGCAACTGTAAAAGTTAATTTTTAAAATTTGAACGTATGCTTGTGAAAATTGTTCCATAAAATGAGAAAGTTTCATGATAGCCTTCATTTACGAGAAGAACCTAACCCATTTTATGCTATATTATATGGACACATTGGTATGAAATTGAAAAAAAGAATTAATGCAGATTATTGCTTAAAAACTCACAAAGAGCACTGCATTTTCTAACATTTTTGTTAATGTCATTCTCAGGCTAGATAAACCAGATTTTATGCCATGCTTTTGAGGTTTCCTACCATTAAAATGACTCCAATTGGCATTCATTGGCTTGATCAAAAGGCTTTAATTATGATAATTATCACAATTTTTGATGTTTGATGGAAAACCATTAAAGAGAATATTTTAAAGTCTAATTTCTTGTCATTTGCTGAAGTTCATGCCTTTTGAATTGATACATTCGAGTTAGCTGAGCTGTTCTTCGCAGTCTGCCAATAAGTCCTCACTTTTAGTTATTGTAATCTATTCACTTACACTCCACAACCTTATGTGACTGTTCAGTGTTCTCTAGACTTCCCCAAATTAAATTGTAAATAAGTTTGTTTTTCAGAAAGCTGTTTAGTGACTA